TACTGTACAGGTTTGTCCATTAGAGGTCAATTGACCAGGGCATGGGGAAATGCTGAAAAATTGAAATTCAACTTTCGAGGCCATGGAACTCTAAGCACACATGACTTCAACAGGATGTAGGTCAACAGAACGGTTCAAAGAATCAAAACAAGTCGGTACTAGAATACAATTTTACTAATCGCAACTGAAAATACTACTTGTAATCGAATAGGTAAGCTAAGCCGAACAAAGGCACAGTTCATATTGATCTTGGGGAGAGCATGAAATCAACACGCCTCCCCAATTGAAGTGCTCTCTTGCTCAGCTCTTTAGCACCTCAGGAGGAAGAGGCTTCAGTGGTTAGGCTGCGTTCATACTTTGCGGCAGCGTCCACTAGCGTTTCAAGCGTCCGGCAGCGTCAGCGACTGGAAAAGTATAGATATCGATCTAGCGTCTACCAGCGTCTCCCAGAGTATGGCGCTAGGAGGGTAGCAAACAGCTCACCATACTCTACCGGGTGTCTGCTACCCTACTATCGTGCTACTCTCCACTCCCGAACGCTGCTGGTCGCTGGTAGGCGCTGGCAGACTTTAGATCGATGCCTATTCTTCCCTAGCCCTCGAGACGCTGCTGGTCGCTGGTGGACGCTGGTAGACGCCAAATCGATACCTGTAGTTCCCAGGAACTCTAGACGCTGGTAGACGCTGGCGAACGCTGGGATACGCTGGCAGACGCTACATCGACTTCCCAGTCGGTGGCGCTGCCAGACGCTCGAAACGTTCGTGGACGCTGCAGCAAAGTGTGAACGCAGCTCCCAGGAAATATGGTTATTTGCTCTCACCCAGCATAAGCTGTGCCCTATGTGTACATACAGTCCTCATCATTACGGTACTGTCGGGGCGGCACAGCCGCGCTGCACTGTGACGCGACAGCGGCTGCGGCGGTGACGGTGAATCAGCTGATTTCGATGGAATTCGGCTGCAAATTCCCACTTTTTCAGCTCTTCAAGCTTCTAAAGTGGAAGGTGAGTTATTCTGACCAATTCTCTCATCTCACTCACCTCTGATTTCCTTTATTCTTTGTTGATTTCCTTTATTTCTATGTCGATTTAACTAGGTCTTTCCCTGTTTTTTGCCTTAATTGTCAAGCATTTATTCAAACGCTTATATTTTTCAGATGTCATTCAGAGTCAGTACTGGTTTAAAATTGGTCAGAAAGAAATCACCTTGCTCACGTTTAGAAGCTTGAACAGAGTTGAAAGAGTGAGAATTTGCAGCCGAGATTCCCATCGAAGCCCGCAGCCGCTTGTCCGCGTCACAGAGTGCAGCGCGCTGCCGCCCGTCCCCACGTACGTAATGACGCAGGACTAAAATGTTTTGTCGCTGCGGATGGTGGAAGTTGTCACTAAGGCGTCAATATTTAGCCGGGCCGGCTAAATCCTTTTTTCCACGGCAGTTTATGAACGGGGCTAGCGATTAACATATTTTCTGAAGACGAGTGATACGGCATGATATGATCTCAGTCTTGTCCACTCCGGCGACGAAAAAAGGACAAAATGGGGGTTGCACACGCGATAATCCAGCCTCGCTGACACGAGCCCACCAATCGATCTACTATTACTTAACAAGGTCCTCATGAAAACTGCGCAAATTCAAATTTATAAAGTACGAACGCGATCACAGTGGAACTTGGAGCGTACCTTCTGATGAGCGCTGCAAGAGTGTTCGGTTCCTTCCTTGCACTACCGAAGCCATTCGGACGGCGGCTTACGGAGCCGGTTGTTGAGCAACACATATGGAATCCAGGAACGGAGCTATAAAGCGACAAATAGACATTTCTCTCCATACTAGGATGTACGATTAAGGCTGGAATCCGCTCTAGAGGACCTGCGCGGTCGCGTTGCTGTTACAGTAGCTAAATATGACTGGTGCGTGACTACTATTAATATTTCATGCGCATAAACCTCGCAATAAGTGAGAGGACGAGTGAGACGGCGAGCATTCAAGAATATAAAGGTAACAGTGAAGGAGATGAACAAGATGTGAGGTTAATACCTAGAACAGAACAAAACAAACCTTGACTCGACACAAGAATTTCCACTTGGGCATTCATCTGCATCTACATTGCAAGCTACAACAGAGGTAGAACCTGAACAGGTTGAATATTGACACAAACAAATAAAAAAAGATAAATGGTGACAAAAAGGATGAATGATGATGCGTTCATGTCCCTGTCACTGACTAGGGCTGCAGCTTGGTTATGTGACAACTAACACTTTTGGCGGAGGTCCTACTGCGAAATGCTGGAGCGCAGAGAAGCGAAGGACTCTAGGTGCCAGGGCACTGAGAGATACTAAAAACATGTCGCGAGCCAGGAGATGAGTTCTTTTGAAAGTAGAGGACACCGGCAGTAGACGAGCCACTTCAATGTGCGTTAAAAGTTGGAATGTGAAAGGTCAAAGTGGTCACAAAACGCCATGCAGAGGTGAGAGCGCTGAGAAAAACAGAAAGTTGGCGCCGTTAAAGGGTTTTAGTCGTCCGTATACCCTGCAGCTTGCCGGAGCATAGACAACCAGAGTAGTCGTGGCCTAATCTCGGAGATCAGAAATGAACACGCTACTGCGAGGATCTCTCAACTAACGACTGCATCGAAAAAGGGGTTCAAACCTGGAATCACGTAGGGTATACGGTTGTCTGGACAAGACGTAACTGTCTGGCAACAAATTGGTTGATTTGTCGTTGAACGAACGCACGAGGCCGAAGGGGGACAAGTGCTCATAACGTTCAACGTGCACGCCTAAATTAGTAACATTCAGAAAATATTGCTTCGCATGTGTGTGAATTTGAAAGTAGGCGTTTCAGCGAAACAAACAAGAAAAGATTGGACAAGTCCCAGTGAAATGGCGTAATCGAGAACAGATAAGTTTACTACGGTAATATCTAGATTCCTAGCTTTCATTTTGTATGTTTTCCTGCTGGAAATAACCAAACACATCTTATTGATATTTGTGCGAAAGTCTTCTGAACGGGTGCTATACTACAGCTGTCACTCTATTAGGCAGCGTTCATACTTTACGGCAGCGTCCACCAGCGTCTACCAGCTCCACTAGCGTTCCGAGCGTCCGGCAGCGTCAGCGACTAGGAAAGTATAGATATCGATCTAGCGTCTACCAGCGTCTGCCAGTGTCGCGAGGCTGCAGAAGTATAGATATCAATCTAGCGTCTGGCAGCGCCTACCAGCGTCTACCGTTCACCAGCGACCGGGAGTAGAGAGTATGGGGAAGTAGGAGGGTAGCAAACAGCTGGATTAGGCGTCGTGAAATTGCGGCGTGTGCAACCGCACCGCACAATTGCTACAGCGTAGTTGACGATGCGGTTGCACAGGCCGCGATTTCGTGACGCCTAGTCCAACTGTTTGCTACCCTCCTACTTCCCAGCCACTGATAAACGTTGGCAGACGCTGGTGGACGCTCACAGACTCTGGCAGATGCTAGATCGATATCTATACTTTCTTAGTAGCTGACGCTGCCGGACGCTCGAGACGCTAGTGGTCACTGGTAAGCGCTGGTAGACGCTGGTGGACGCTGTCGCTAAGGATGAACGCAACCTTATGAGACACCCTTCCCTCTGCTCACTTGACAACTGGCAGTCGCGTTCCTCCCCACCCTTGAAATCAAAACAGAAATGCTGAACCCCGAGTCACTGCTATTTCATCGTTATTCCATCATCTTGCGGACCAAGGTGTCAAACAACTATAGAAAAGAAAAAAATGTTCTAAATAAGCTCCGACTCACCTTGACAACAGTATCGCCGTCTTCGATAAGTGGTGTCATGCCACGAGGACATGATCCCGACAACGTTGAACTCACACAGGTGGATACGCACGCTTTACGAGAGGTGAAGCGATTTGCTGTTCCTCCACATCCTGAAATTAACTCATTATTATCACCATGTCAACATTCTAGACACTGAAAACCGTTTTGCTTTGAGAAGAACAGTCCACGCACCAATTGTATGCGGAAATAGACGCGACCATCTAGTGCGCCCCATCTGCTAAAACTTGTAAAGTGGGGGACAGGAGGCTAACGGGGAACAATCCAAGGGTTCCCTGACATGAATGGTGGTAAGAGAGTAATGCGCGATAAAGGTCTACGCTGACATCTTGTACTAATTCTTGCATGGTCTGTTACGCGAAACCCTGTGACGCAGACGGATAGAGGGCAACGGCTGCCAATGCATCGAAACGTGCAAAAAACGTATGGCGAGCCAGGAAACGGGATTTTTTTAAGGAATAGCGGAATCGGGGTGGGTTGAGCTACTATAGTCGGTTGAAAAACTGGAGTGAGGTAGTCACAACTAAACGGCTCAAATAGAGTGTCCATGCAGACGAGGGAGTGCAGAGAAAAAGAGAGGCTCGACGCGTTTAAAGGGATTGAGTTCAAGTCGTCCGTAGACCGGCGATACAGGTACCAGCTGTCTGCTACCCTCCTATCGCGTCATAGTCTCTACCAGCAGTCTGCTACCCCTATCGCCCATACACTCACTCCCGGATGCACTGGTGTGGTAGACGCAGACGCTGGACCAATCCTATAACTTCCCTAGGTCCTCGAGACGACTAGGTCGCCTAGTGAGCGCTGGCAGACGTTAAAAGCGATAAATTTATAATCTATAGATTAAGTTTGCAACCAGCTGCGCGCTGTCGGACCTAGCAAGACGCTATTGGTCGCTGCCACAAAGTATGAACGCAGCCAGAAGAGACCTTCGCAGTTGTTTCCACAGGAATGCTGACTTCTTGCCAAAAACGTAGCCTTAGGCGGGGCCAAATTCTGCACATTGCGCTTTTCGGGCGAGAACGCTATCCGCGTCACCGAGAGGCCGAAGGGAGCGGTTAAGTTATTGGAATGTATTGAGAATAACTGGAACTTAAAGGCACATTCCGCGATAAAATAAGGCTATGACCTCTCAAATGTGTCGGACGATCCGGAAGGCGATTTTTGAGGCTGCGCTACTTTCAAAATGTGAAAAACGGCAAGAACTCCGCTAGAAGCTGACTAATTAGGCCCATGGACACCCCTTAGGCCCATGCCGACCCTCACCGGCTGCTAGCTATAGCTCTATCTTATCTTTCTCTATATACATTTTCGAACTGCTTTTAACCTGCTGATTTTCTTCGCTAACAGATTACCTTAGTTTTCTATTCTTTTTTTGTGCCTAGTTGAGTTCCGTTTCCCGCAATTTGCGGTCGCGAACTGTGCCTTTAATATTCCTAGTAACCAACCGTTATAAGCGAATTGACTTGCATTTTCTTGTGCTTGATCGTAGATACCACATTGTTCCGCAATGGTGGATCCGGAACATACATTACTCTACCATTGAAGCCGTTGCAGGAGTAGCTGAATAAAACAACCAAATAAAATAGATAATCAATCAAAAAAACTTATTTCTTTCGTTGTTTGATTTTTGAAAGTGAAATCTTGGTATAGTCCTCCAGGCACTAAGTTCTTCCACTTCAGTCTCTACAGTATGGCCGATATCATTTGGATCACCGGCTCACCCCGGTATTTCTCCCTATTGTGAAAGAGCTGCACTTTGCCCGTGGGAGGCCTCGATCTTTCAGGGATAACGGTAATGCCGGAGTCTCATCTGTGCAGGTGATCAAAACACTCCTTTCCACTATAAGGCAAAGGGTAATAGTGCTGAAGTAATGGGAATGGTGGAGATTACTGTTCGACAAAGAATCTTGGCATCAGCCGAGAGCCTCACTGAAAGAGGAAGGCGCGACGAATCGGTCGGCGTACGGGAGGGGAAGTGCCGCCGTCTGCCGACGATGGCATATAGCGCTCACTATTAAATTATGCCACTTCTAGTGAAAATTGTTGTATGTAGTAGAAAGATGTTAAGCAAGAAACAGAAAAGAAATGTAGTAGAAAGTTAATGCTAAAGTCAAGGGCAACAGAAGTGTCCGGCTGATTGCCATTCGTAGCCGGCTGGACACGGTACAGAAGCAGAACAGCGTTGGGCAGCTGGTTCGGATCCATGAGCGCGGCTGCTCCACCACATACTAGAATCGCGATAATAATAGTTTATCAACCATAATAATAATATTGCATTTTGATGAAATGGTTTTTTGAGATTGATTACTGGAACTGATTTTTTTTTACCAGCAAGGCTTCCACATGGTTGACAGGGCTGTTGAGGTGCGCTACTTCCCAGTCGCAATGAGTGCTAGCAAAATAAAGCGTTGCAAGGGTATAACATCGCTACATTCGCAACCAGGACCAACCGCTCCAACCGTGCCGTGTATGCGCGAGTCGACTTCTCTCGCGCCACTCTATCTTCGTCTCGTCTCTCTTGGTCAATTTAGCTTTCTCTGTCGAATGCTGCTTGACCCGCCTGGTCAACTGTCTAGAAACTACCTAACTGGCGTAATCTGCCGCAGCGCTGAAACAGTAAATCGCTCTACCCCCCTCCACTGCTGTCTGGTCGCCGCATCTTCACCGAATTCTCCCAATCGCTATTCCTCCATCTCGGATACCGCTGCAATATAGAATGAGCATAGCAAAATCTGAAGTAGAATCTCATACCAAAATTGCCGAACAATCAAAAACTTTCACGGAAAACTTAGCACTACTTTGGGTGGCGACTCAACTAAAAGGGAGACGCAATATTTTAAAGGCCTCACCGCTTTCTGCAGAGTTTAAGCAGTGGTCTTTGGCAACTTTGCATGCTGTGGAAGTTGTTTACGGCATTGCCACTTACACGAACGGAAGGCTTGACATTTCCTAAAAAGTGATACCCTGTTAATCCTCCTCAAAGAAATGTTGTTCAAGTATAATATTACCTGGTCGATGGGTTGAAGTAAAATCGCTGAATAGTGACAGATCGGCCAAAACAGGGTGTTCCAGCAGAGACCATTTCATTGCAGGTTAGCTCTGAAAAATGAAGAATTCTTAGTTTGCTAGCTTTATTGATCTGTTGGTATATGTGAGAACGCCTAGGTCCGCTGACTACCACCGCCTAAGTCGCAGGATGCCCTGACGCGTGCTACGAGTAATGCCACGGATGTGTATGATTGCTAGCTACGTGGATAACAATAGTAGGTACTTGAAGCGGTGGGCAGGATGGCCGCTAGGCTCACGTCATTGGTGGAAGGGGTGAGTGGGGTGTAGCCATATCCTTCTCGCAGCCCTCCCACCAATGACGTTGACAGTGATCCCCCCTCCCCCCCTCCTGCAGAAATCGTGCCCACTGCCTTTAGCCCGTCATGTTAGCCCATCCAAATTAAATGGTAGTGAGCTCAGCAACTCGGCCTCATCTTCCTCCCTAACTTGAAGCAGCTACTATGCAAAAATCTTTCTGGTCCACCATTACGCTGTGAGTGCTCTGGCTTAGAGCCAGAACTCACCGCTTTACCTGCTTATCAAGAGTGCGGCAGGAATCACATTCTCTTTCTGTTCCTCCCTCGTCCCCTCGTATGGGATCCATATTTTTAGGGTTAGCCGTTATCACTAAGGAGTGTCTCTTAGATCGTTGAAGGCCCCTTCGTTCTGCATCTGATCCACGATTCATTCATACCGGCATCGCTTTCCCCTTCGGCCTTTGCCTTCTAAGAAAAAGGGTCCATGAACACGAGGGTCCCCTCGTGACTTTGCCCTATGCGAGTGCCAAAGGTATACATACATTTAAACGCTGATACAGCTTCCAGCCGTTACGCCTACGTCACCACAGACGAAAAAAATATAGCGCGCTTAAAGTAATACTCACCAGGATTTGGGCAGCATACTGCAGATGGCCCGAAGACTGGACTCATACATGAGTGCGATTGAGGGCATGTATTCGTAGCTGTAAGAGCACATACAGCGTTCACGGCACCAACGCGATATGCCTACAAGTACAGTTTACTAATTTGTAGTTTTTAAGAATACTGTAGATTTTATTCTATAGTCCCTGGAATGTATTATATTTTGGTTTCCTGGTCTATGAAGGCACAGTGCACGCGGATCATCTGGGCGGAGACAGTCAACCATTACGCTTTTCTCAGCGGCGTACCTTTCTTGAAAGATTTGGAGACAGGGACGCACCAATAGGAGAGACGCTTCAGCTGTATCACCACCATAATCGCGGGTTGTTGGGTTTGTTGCTTCAAAACAAAGGGCACTAGTTGCAGGGGTGGTCCCGGTTGTTTGCGCCGCACCCATTTGGCGGAAGCGTTGAAGAGTGTGATGGCCACACCCACTACTCAGCTCCTTCCACAGATACGTTGGTGACAATCGCCCGCCCTCAGCGTTGCGCCCTTGTGCCTTTAAGCCAACAGATCCCCTCAGTCAGGTTGTTTTAACAAGTTTTACCTGTCCATGTTGACATTGAGTGTCCAGACAGAACCCTTCACATTCTTCAAGACTGTTGAAATTGTTAGCATTACCTCCACATTGACTGAAAATCCTTGGTTACAAATGGTATGACTCAGAATAGAAGAACAAAAAAAACGAGACGGAAAGAATAAACGCATTACCTAAATGAAACGATGTCTGCAAGAACCAGTCGAACACATCAAAGTAATAACGAGTAATGGCCGGACGAGAGTTAGCACACGCTGAGCCGGAATGTCGTGGCAAAGAGCAGGCGTTTTCTGTGAGAGAAAGATAGAATGGTGAAATATAGGGAGGGGAATATCGACATAAGAAACCAAAAGGTTTTGCGGTTGCCAAAGCCAAGTGTCTTTGTAAAAAAATGTGTAAAATACTGTCTTTTCAGGAATTTCTGAGATATTAACAGTTCCGCAAGAACAGCCACAGTGCTAGAGAGTGACGTCAGGTCAATGGCGCTCCCGTAAGCGCAAAAGCGGGTCATTGAAATTGGATATCAACATGCAAGCGCCAATCATAAAAACGCGTTTGCGGAACCCCGAAATCGCGCCTTGCATCTTGATCCACGAGGTGTTTACTTTAACTCAAGCTGCCTCTAAATTATACCTCTTGATGGGCAACAATATTGAGAAGCACCGGCGGTAACGCATTCATATCCGTCTCTGCATGGATTGTCCTCACCACAAGATGTTGGGCCACCGCCTGCCGGTAAGCCAGCGGGACATACATCTGAAATGTTAATAACATAATAACACTGAGAGCTTCTAGGCACAAGACTCGTAATCAAATGTTGGCGCAAGATATTTTCCGGGATGATTCTCTTACTTGGCGATGAACAGCATTTGCCTTCTCTACAGCTATATCCGGTGGGACAGGGATGTGCAGACGTGCAGGTTGATGGAGTGGACAAAGGTGTTTCGCCGTTTGGACAAGTACCTGAAATTCTGTAGTTATACAAAAGATCACAACTTAACACTTCGAACAGGAAAGAAGGGCCATTTGCTTGCCTCAAAATGAGTATCAGACGGAATGATTGAGTATCACTGGCTACAGTTTGTTTGACCCCCTCCTGATAAGAAAACCCAATGGAAACATATTGTGCCATTAGATGCATGGGGCGAGTTTATGAAGAAAAATTGTTTTCAGGTCTAAAGTTGGGACCAGCATACCTTTGTATAGGCAATATCGCTAGAGTGAGTGGCCACGGTTCCAAACCAAAATGATTGTTTGATGATTTGAAAATTACAAACCTGTGTTGCCTGAAGTTGAGGAGCAGCAAATGTGCGTTTGTAGCGGGCCGGCTAAGCACACAGGAATAACCTTCCTGGCATGAAACTGCAATAAAATATCGTGAATGCTTTTTCCGCTATAAATTTTCCGATAGTTCAAGTCAAATTCTGTAATAATACCATTCGTAATAATACTCATGGGAGGCATAGTTCAGTTATTATGCTTCCCTTATATTTCATACCCCCCACAAATCCTATCCGCAGCCTCATCGTGGCGTGGGGGTGAACGGTTTTGGACTGTTCCAAAAACGTACCAATGCGGAGGGTGCCACGTCAGAGCCTGGCGAGCTACGCGTGGTTAATTTTCTTCTCGCCGAAAACAGTAACAACTATGGGCCTCATTCCCCTGAAGCTGAGGGAACCACCGACAGGGCGACGTCGGCTGGGACCGCTCGGACGAGGCTGCAAAAATCACAGGGCCAACGGAGATTTGAGTCGCCCAGGACTAGGATGACGATCTGTACTTTCAACGCACGGACGCTTGCATCGGAAGCTCACATCGAAGATCTGATGTTGCAAGCCAGGAAGATCAAGTACGACGTCATCGGACTGACCGAGACGAGGAGGCATCGCCCGCTACACGCCGTATACGAGACTGGAGAAGAACTGTTCCTCGGAACATGCGACAGCAGAGGCGTTGGCGGTGTGGGCGTCCTCGTCAACACGCACTTGGCCATGAACATCGATTCGTACGAAAAGTCTGACGACGAATGCGGACGTTTGGGCGATTCGAGAAAGATGTGGTTCACCTCTCAGCTTTGACTAATCTTCGTCGGTCCGTGACGCACCACTCCCGCTACGTACGACGGATGAGCTCGAAGCGTTCTATATGGAATTGGAGAAGTTCTACAAGGAAGATCATACCTTCTTCAAGGTCATCGTCGGTGATTTCAACGCTAAGATCGGACCAAGAAGAACGGCTGAAGAACTTCACATCGGAACTCACGGAACGGAGTGGAATGAGCAGGTGAAAGGCTGTCTGAGTTTATCAGTCGACCACACATCCATGGTAACTCGCAGTTCCAGAAGCCCTACTCTCTACGCTGGACATGGGAGTCTCCTGGTGGACAATTCCATAACGAGATCGACCACATCATCTGCAATCGAAGGTTTTGCCTAATCGATGTCGCTGTTGTCCCTAAGTTCTACACGGGATCCGACCATCGCCTCCTTCGCGCAAGATTCCGCTTTTCGATGCGAGGAGAGAGAGCCGCAAAGTTCAAGAAGCGAAGCCCAAAGACCTTCATCAACTGGGATCACTTCACTTCTCTCGCTGGGCTCTGGGAGGATTCTGTCATCGACAACATCGACTTATACGAAACATCGACGAGGAATACGAACGGCTTGTTGCACATCTTCACGACTGCGCCAAGAAGTCAGAGGGTTCCAAGATTACCAAGAAGCGTCTATCTCTGGAAACTCTCGAGCTGATTCGCCAACGTGGAGCCGCACGAGCCGCAGGCAATTACCAGCTGACGTCTGAGCTTGCGAAGCTATGCAGAGGAGCGATAAAAGAAGACCTCAAGGAGAGAAGAGCAGCAGTATTGGTGGAAGCCGCAGAGGCTGGGAAGCACGCAACGCCCGCCGCGACTTCGCCAACTGTAAGACCAAGATGACCGCCCTCCGACGTCCGGATGGAACAATCACCGCATCCAGAAGGGCAATGGAGAAGGTCATCCACGACTTCTACTCGGATCTCTTTGACAGCCACGTCCACCTGCAACCATACCGCTTGGAGCAGGATGGATATGTCGTTCCTGCAGTTCTCCTTCCGAAGTCCGACACGCCATCTCGTCGGTGAAGAATCGTACGGCACCCGGTCCCGACAGGATCAGACCCGAACATCTGAAGAATCTTCCGCCAGTTCTCGTCAAAACTCTGGCTCGACTCTTCACGCGCTACCTGTCGGAATGCAAGGTACCCACCTCGTGGAAAACCAGCAAGACTGTGTTGCTGTACAAGAAGGGAGACCTGTACGACATTGGCAATTAAGAAAAAAAAATCGCCCAATCTGCCTGCTGTCTGTAGTCTACAAACTCTTCACACGAGTCATCCTGAATAGGATTGGCAGAACACTAGACGAAGGACAGCCATGCGAGCAAGCAGGGTTTCGAAGAGGATTCAGCGCACGAGTCTGATCAGACATCCACGACGGTAAGAAGCTCATTGAAAGTATCGCGAGAGTACAAGATGCCGCTATGTCTCACGTTCATCGACTTGAAGAAGGCCTTCGACTCCGTTGAGACAGAAGCGGTTATCGAAGCCCTGGGCAACCAGGGTATTCCTACTCAGTACATCAGGATTCTTCGTGAGCTCTACAGCAACTTCACGACCAAGATTTCACCATTCTACAAGGAGATCATCATTGATGTGAAGAGAGGGGTCCGACAGGGCGACACCATCTCGCCCAAGCTCTTCAGCGCCTCTCTCGAGAACGTCATGCGTCAACTGGAATGGGAAGACATGGGAGTGAAGATCGACGGTCGGCAACTACACCATCTCCGCTTTGCTGACGACATCGTTTTGATAACGCCAAACATCGAGCAAGCGGAACGAATGCTGGCTGAATTCGACTGCGCGTGTGGAAGAATCGGTCTACGGCTGAACCTAACGAAGACGATGTTCATGAGAAACGGATTGGTATCTGATGCCCCATTCACGCTCAACGGAACGACCATCTCTGAATGCTCTAGCTATGTGTACCTAGGTCGTGAAATCAATATGATGAATGACCTAGCTCCAGAGCTGAGCAGGAGGAAGCGAGCGGCTTGGGGAGCCTTCAAGAACATCGAGGGAGTAGCGAAGAAGACGAAGAACACCAAGCTCCGTGCCCACCTCTTCGATTCCGCGGTCCTTCCTGCCTTGACGTACGCCTCAGAGACTTGGACTCTACGAAAGCAGGATGAGCATGCGGTCGGCGTTATTCAACGCGCCATCGAAAGGGCGATGCTCGGAGTTTCCCGCTACACGCAAGTGAGAGAGGGAATCCGGAGCTCCGCACTCCGC